TAAGTATTAGCATTATTTAATGATACTATGTTATATATATATATATATAGGCCTACACACATTTATTCATTTATAAACATATATATATATATAAACACACACTTATATGTACTCATGTATTTATTCATTTATACACATATGTTTACTGGTGTTTTATCATCTCAGCTGGTGTAAGTATTAGCATTATTTAATGATACTATTTTATATATATATANAATATTAAATAAACGTTAACATGTTACATGACAAACAAAAAAACGAAACATTATATATAGGCTATATATACAGATGTTTGCTAATGTATCCCTCTTATATCCATCAGGAATTAATATTAAATGATGAATTAACATTACCTCAGCACTGCATAAATGTGGTCGTCAGTCATATTGACAAAGATATTGTATATTATGCATACAGTCTATGATATTATGCAGCGTTTATAAGGACAGTATTTTGCTTGTCAGATTCATTGTCAGATTCAGATTTCGCGGGTGTGCCGTGTCTACGTAGAGCTACGTCGATCCTTGCGTAATGCGGAAGTGGGCGTGGTTAAATCTAAACTGGGTTGGAATAACGATAGACGCGTCCGGGGCGGGAGATCAATGTGATTGGTTGTTGGTCGCGCTCCAGACACGCTTCAACGCACGCTGCCGTGTACGTACCGTTATGCTTCAGCTTTAATGTTAGTTGCCGCCCATTTAAAACCTGGCTGTAAAAAAAAAAAAAAATCGCAAATCTTTGTTGAGGAATTTGTTATTATGTGATGTTTTTAAAAAATACATTTAAAGAGAGGAGAAGAGATAAGAGAGATGGCATGAAGAAGACTGCACTATAAAAGTAACTACAGTTTGGAACCTTTCTCCTCATTCCCGTTATGTGCCATCAAGGAGGCTGTAATCTCAACACAGAGAGCTTTCAGTGACTTTTACCGTCACTTTACTTCAGCAGCCACATATGTCTCAAGTGCCGTCGGGAGCTGAGGAGGTGCAATGAACACAAGCACCTCCACAGTGTGAGTGTCCTGTAATGTGCTAAACTCTGTTGTTCCTATAGAAAGTGCTGATGCAGTAAACCCTGCAACGACCGAGCAGCGCTAATAAACATTAGCGGTGATGAACATCCTCTCCACGGCGTCAATAACAACATCAAGAACAAGATTATATAACAACAATGGGAGTCATTAGACGAAATTAAAGTAGAACTTTTCGGGAAAGTAAAGAAATATAAAGTTCAGGATGAGGTTTGTTGTGTAATTACTTTAACCTTTACAGAAGGAATAAATTGCAGAATGACAGAGAGTTCAAGGAATCTAAGAGGACAGGAATGTGGACTTTGAGTCCAATTTCCACATTTCTCAAAAGTTTTCTTTTTAGGCTGAAACTAAAAAGTTGATAAGGGAAAGTGCAGTAAAGGATTCTCCTAAAAGTGTCTGTTTAAAGAGTTAGAGCAAGCAGCATCCAAGTGTCTTCAAAATTGGTTAAAAAGTTCTTTAAACCTGAAATCTCTCTGAAATCCACCAGGTATAAAAGTCTATGATAAAATGTTCGCACTTTTCTCTTGATTACCTCAAGTCAACAATTTCCTGATGAGTTTATGGTCTCAATCTTTCGTTTCAAGTCTTCTTCATGACAGCATGATGTTCATTTAGTAAATTAAGGTCCCATTTTGAGTAATATATGATGAAGCAGCACATGGCAGGTTACCTGTGATTGACAGGTCGCTGCCATGTTGTTTTCCGTGTTTTCGTTTTATAACTTTAACCTTTTCAAAGTTTGTGTTTGACTTGAAATTGTAACATTCTGTTTGTCTAAAAAGGTCAGTATTTGGTAACTCCGCCCTCTCTTGTCACTGCTGGCTTGAACAAAACCAAGATGGCAGCGAAAAACCTTACGGCCCGTCTACACTACAGGCATCGAAAAATGCTTTCAACGCTTCGCCCATTCACTTGAATGGGGTGACGTAGAAGATTTGTAATCTTCGCCGAACTGCATTGTGGGGAGCATGGCATGGCTTTGCAAGCATCACGAGCATCTATCGGCATCACCAGTGAACATCCTGTTTATGCAAATCCCGCCAGTGCAAGCGCTAGCCAATCAAACCGCGTGCAAGCTGGGAGAGCCAGACCGCAGTTCATTTCCTCATATTCCAAACGAGATATTACGGTAGCAAATCACCCGGTTCTTTACGACCAGAACTATTTACCGGGATACAAACCGGAGGAACCAGGCATGGAGGGAGGTGGCAGAGACAGTGGGTGAAACTGGTAGGTTTTCTCCTGTTTGGAGAGTTTATATCCAGTTTACTTCGTTTTAACATTGCTATTGCTTTGTATGTCGGGGGCGGGAGATTCATGTGATTGGTTGTTGGTCGCAAAAAATCGCCAAGCTTCAGACACGCCCAGCTTCAAGATTTTTTGATGCCTGTAGTGTAGGCGGGCCGAGACAAATAGAAAAAGTGTGTTAAGTTATGTGTGCTAGATGTTTACTTGGTGTGTGTGTGTGTGTGTGTGTGTTG